GGGTTTGAGCCCCGGTCAAGGCAGCACCTCTCTGGCAGACGCTGTAGCGGGTTTGAGCCCCGGTCAAGGCAGCACCTCTCTGGCAGACGTAGAGAGTTTGAGCCCTGCTCAAAGCAGCACCGCTCTGGCAGATCAGAACTGTCTATGAGATGCACGACAGAATTTCAAATTCTCTGGAGTCATGGAGGCTGGATGAACCCCTAAAACTACCGCCCTGAGATAATCTTTAAATATTAAACCAAAACTATCCCGAGTCTTCTTAAAACCAAACAATACTTCAGCTTAACTAGTATTCAATGTCACTGAATTATACATGTAGAAACTGTTGAATTGGTGTATGTTCTGTGTATACTCTCAACAATAATAAAAAAATCACACAAGACCAACCACAAAGAACTGACTATGACGGCAGCTCTACCTAACAGAGTAGCCGCAGGTCCAGGCTTGCGGACTCCAGCCTTAGGGGTTATCCTCTCTTCCCGTCTGCTCCTCCATGCTCCCTACTTTCTTCCTTTTGCTTTTCCAGCCTTTCTAACACCTGTGCAACCAAGTCACTCAATTAAATTGTTTTTCTTTGAAATACCAAAAGTGCTGTTTCCTTGACTGAACCCATGACTGAAGCATTATTTCTCTAGCAAAGATGATTCAAACGGGACACTATTACTCAAAAGGCTGGATTAACATGCTGAATTTTATAATAAAGATACAAAGATTAAGTTCAGATAGCAGGAAGCAACTAAAAAAATTAATGGTAGAAAGGTTAATATTTCATATTGTCCATAATACAGGTAGTTCTCAACTTACAATGTATTCGAGTTACAATGAACTCTGTGGGTTTTGGTACATCTTATTGTTAGTAATATGTACTACATACAATGTAAAATATATCTGTAAGTTTATATGTAATGTTTCCAACCCCCAAAGACATGTAAAGATCAGATTTACACAGATACTGATAATAAAAGGCAATAATAATGAAAACTAAAAAAAAAAAAAGAAAAAAGAAAAAAAATGAGGTTCAGACTGACTTATGACGGAGTTACTGGAACAAAATCCCGTCGTAAATTGGGGACAACTTGTATGTCCTTCAGTGGTTTAATACTGTTATCAGAAGACTCTGTGAAACTGTACCACAGTCTCAGTATGTTACATTCTGTGAGTAAGATACTTACCTTTTTTTAACAATAAGAAAGTACTAGCTGGTGAAAAGAATACGTGTATTATAAGTAATTCAAGGAATACAAAAGCATAGCAAAGAAAAAAAAATTAACCACAGTCCTAATCCTAAGAAATAATTATCATATGAGCAGGTACAAATCATCCTGAACATCACACAAAAAGGCTAAAAATATGAACATAATTTTGTTACAATGGGATTATGCTACCTATGCTCTTTTAATGAAAAAATACTCAATTGATTTCCTTTGAACTAAAAGAAAAAGACTGCGGTACATTTTTTTTAAAAAAGGAAGAAAAAGGGTTAGAAAAACCTTAAAAGTTAGTGTATTCTTGCTTAAAACCACATTTAACTTTTGACATATAGATTGTTATACTTCCTCCTACTAGCCGTTTGCTTCCTCTTTTTTTAGTTGTATTATTATTTTTACTGTCAAGGTTCCTAATATTTAAATGCTATTCTGTAGCCATAATTCTCACAGTTGTCAAGAATCTGCTCCACATTTAAAAGATTTAATCTTCATTCTCAGTTCTGTCCCCAGGGATCTTCTTATTCTCTTCATTTTGATACATCTTTTGTTTGGCTTAATTTTACCATTACTGTACAAATTTTTTTAAAGAAGGGCTGTTGATGTGTGCCATCAAGTCAATTCCGACTCATAGAGACCCTACTGGACAGAACACAACTGCCCCACAGGGTTTCCTAAGTGTAATCTTTATGGGTCACCACTTGTCTGTCAATTTGCTGTACTGCAGTGGCGTGCGTGTTGCTGTGATTCTAGAAGCTACGCCACCGGTATTTCAAACACCAGCAGGGTCACTCATGGTGGACAGTTTTCAACGGAGCTTCCAGATTAAGAAACCAGGAAGAAGGATCTGGCGGTCTACTTCTGAAAAAAAAACTGGCCAGTAAAAATCTTACGAACAGCAGCAGAACCATGTCTGATATAGTGCCACAAGATGAGCCCTTCAGGTTGGAAGGCACTCAAAACTAAACTAGGGAAGAGCTGCCTCCTCAAAGTAGAGTCGACCTTAATGATGCATATGGAGTAAAGCTTTCGCGACCTTTATTTGTTGATGTGGCATGACTCAAAATGAGAAGAAACAGCTGCATTCAGTAATAACTGGAACATGGAATGTATGAAGTAGGAATCCAGGAATGTTGGAAGTCGCAAAATTGAAATGGAACGCATAAAGATTGATATCCTAAACATTAGTGAGCTGAAATGGACTGGTATTGGCCATTTAGAATCTGGAAATCATATGGTCTACTGTGCTGGGAATGACGAATAGGAAAGGTGTTGCATTCATTGTCAAAAAGAACATTTCGAGATCTATCCTGAGGTACAACACTGTCAAAGGGTGCCTAGACAAGACAAAGTAAAGCTGTACAATGAAATGTGCGAAGACCTGGAGTTAGAAAACCAAAAGGGAAGAACATGTTTGGCATTTCTCAAGCTGAAAGAACTGAAGAAAAAATTAAAGCCTTGAGTTGCAATACTGAAGGATTCTATGGGTAAAATATTGAAAGACTCAGGGGGCATCAAAAAAAAGATGGAAGGAATACACAGAGTCACTGTGCCAAAAAGAAATGGTCGATGTTCAACCATTCCAGGAGGCAGGATATGATCAAGAACC